ATGAACTTCTATTTTATCTAATCAAGTCTTTGAACTTGAATAATTTTTTCTAATCAAGTCAGGCGTCCAACGCCAATTCTGATGAATTCGAACTTCCGTGGTTGTCAGACCATGTCAAAATTTGAGCACATAAGTCCATGCCAAGATGTGCGTTCTTATAGAATATTTAGCTTGAGTGTAATTATTCAATCCACAAGAAACTACATAAAATACCAAAACACGTTTCTTCCACCTTGTTCAAAAGACATTAAAAAAACCAATCTAAAAAATCAAAAGAAAGAAAGTTTTGTCTAGGAAGCTTCGCCTTCTCCAGTCGTACAAGAGGTGAAAAGAGAAGGACAAAAAAAAATAAATTAGAAAGCTTGCTTGGACTTCCAAAATGAGCAGTGCATTGCCGTTTTGGTCCACCTTATGCTAACAGGAAAGTTTTACTTTTCCTCTCTTAATTCACACTTTTTCTTTCAATCAAGTTCTTAAACTTTTAATTTAATTAATCAATTCCTTAAACTTGCATAAATTTTAAGTCCGACCTTCGGCACCAATTTTGATAAGCTCGATCTAACGTGGCTATCAAACCATGCTGAAGTATGATGTGGAAAAGAACTAGTCTTGATAAACAAGACACCATGGAAAATGATGTAAATGTTTTCCTTAAGAGACATGCTACCATTAAGAATTTTGCCTCCACGAGAGAGACCGAGGGTCGACAAAGTGACAATTAAGATCAAGTATACGATATATGTCTTGCCATGCTATAGTATTAGGAGATGGGTTTATCAAGAGGATTCCGAAGTCTGCCACGGGATTTTACTCTTGGACTAATCACAAAATGTTCAACGTATTGCCTCTCACTGCCTTCCTTTTTTGAAAATAATGTTGATATCTATGAGCAAATTGAGGTCTTTTTTCTTTTCTGGCAAAAAAGGGAAAGAAGTGGTCACACGTCGACGGGGTGGAAATTTCAGGTCGAATTCTCATGCCGTGATGGATGGGTTCATGTGCAATCATGACTGCATGTTTTAACATGGCATCTCGTTTCTTTTTCCACAGATAGGCCAAAATTGAGAGACCCACAAAAAAGACTTTCGCCACTTTTAGATTGATGAACAAGAGTCATTCCACAGTTTTTATTTTTATTTTTTAAAGCTAATGTTTTAACATATGATTGTACTTCAAACCAAAAAAAAAAAAATGATTGTACCAATCACGCATTATCCATAAAATTATTGAATACAATACATATCTGATCTTTTTCTTATTTTCTAAATAGTTGGTACACTTGTAATTGCTACACAGAACCCCCAAGGTGTCGGTTTAGATGGCCAGAAATTTTCTTCTCTCCTTGTAGTCTTGAATTCAAGTCTTATTAGGAGCACTCTAGAAGTAAAATCCTGATTGGAGCAAGTCGATATGAGGGAGTGCACCCTTAAGATCACCTAGGAAAATGAATGAATCGAGATGCGCAAAAACTAATTTAGATACCACTTCACCGCTAAATTACGAAAACAAAGAAAATGTTACATAGATGTCGATTGTTGTGGGGTTGGTTGGTTGAACTCAAAAGTCAAGTTGCAAAGCCAAAACTTAGATTAGGAAGCGAGGTACAAAAGAAAATTATTATACCCTAACTTTTGTTTTTAACCCTTGGATATCCATGAACAAATAGGGTACTCGTGCGGATTACGTTGAGAAGACGTGCGAGACGTGCAAGTTGAAGTGGCCATCTCAGATTCTCCTCTCAACTAGTGGAAGACTTTGAAGACGACTTTCGAGTCAAGGTGTGGTTGATGTCCGTTGGTAGTTTGTTTGTAAAACAAACAAAGAGGTGCCTTGTCCCACATCGAAAGGATGTGAGTGTGCACATGGACGAGATTTGACACTAATCAATGATTATTTTTATTTATTTATTAAATTTCGAATTTATTATTATAAAATAATTATTTTATCATATTGAAACGGTGTGACCGTTTGCAATAGAGTGGCGGTTATTTTTTAATAATTTAATTTCGAATTTTTATTTTCTGCCTAATGGTAATTAGACTCTCTTACAACCTTTGAAAGGTTGTGTCTGTTCGGACATAACTTCTTTACATTCGAAAGGGTATGTTTGTTCAACATATAAATATTTGAACGTTTTTGTCCATTAAGAAGAACAACCATTTTTTCCATTTCTTCCAAGAGATATACAAGCATCTTTTCTAATTGTTTTCCTAGAGAGACTCTAGAGATATACCGAAATTACTATTCGGTATTCTCAATCGAGACTTCGTTGTATCTTGGAGGAAATTTGCCAGCGACTATTAGTAACTTTGTGGGGCAAATAATTTCTTAAAGAAAGTGATACTACGCTTCAAAGTCTGATTTCGTTGTTCATCCTGTTTGAAGTTGAAGTTTCTTTTCTTCTACAAATTTGGAGGAGCATATTTTTTCCAACATCTTATGCCGAAGGTGGACTCAATGATGAAATGCAACGTGGACTTCACTTACACGGCATGCATTTTGAATTTTCGATCAATAAGGTGTAGCAAGTGCCTCAAATTTTCCTCTTTAAAGCAGAAGAGATCCATGATCCGAATCTTGACCCTTAAGATAAAGTGGGGAAAAAGTAACTTGTATGAAATTTCACTGGCCCTTGTCCTGTTACTTCTTTTGAAAAATGCAGTTCATCTAGAAAAATGTCGACTTTACAACAAAGTCCTCGATCTTAATAAACTCGTCCATCATCAAAGTCAAAAGATATGAACCCTAATGTCACATATTGATGCGCCCTATTACTAATGTGGTTAGTGATCAATCTATTCACTCTTTTTTTTATTGATTGATGTAATTGTCTAGTCAGCCATCACTGGATTTAACTATAATTAACTCTATTAATCTTTTTATTCCCTTTATCGTTTCCTCATTATTTTAGATTCCTATAAAGCGATTACATCATGAGGAGTACTATAGGACTTGGTTCCACACAGATTTTGAGCAATTAAGAGTACGCGTACTTTTAACTTTTTGTCATTGTCGTTGTTGGTTTCAGTATGTACAACTATAAAGTTGAATAATCTCATTAATGTCTTCTATGGGAGAGGACGTAAACATAAATTAACTCTAATCTGTTGAGAATAATGAAGTGTTAAGCCAATTTCTTTTATTACTCTCTTTAATGACAAGTATTGTAAAAAGAGTAAGAACAAAGCTGAATTCTTTTTATAAATTTGAATCAAACAGAAAGAATTACGAAATGAAAAGATGAACAAAGATAACACTAGTAAAGCATAAAAATAAAAACTAAGTAAACGCTTTTGCAGAATAGTTAATCCAAAATGAACATAGATTAAAGATAGCAAAAATGCATTAGGTTGTTAAGAAATTTAGTCATCGCTCATATATATTTTGCTCACATACATGCATAAATACGGACAAACATTCATACCTACATACATATATATACATACTTCATACATACAAACACTCATCTAAAAATTGTGTTTTTCATAAAACAATGACTCTTCTTCCAAACAATGTGTCTTCCGATATACTTTTGAATAAATAGTGATTTGAAATCTTTCATGTTCAAAATAAAATTTGAATTATTTTTTATTTATATTTGCTTTCAATTACAAAAATCACGAAATGTCCACATAACTTTAATTTTTTATACTAAAAAAATTCCGCTATGGTTACAAGAAAAGAAAACACTCACCGCCTGACCTTTAATTCATGAGATCTAAGACACTTTTTCACATTTAACTTAAACTAAATTAAGGATTCCCATTCATGTTTAGCTCCTTCAATATATATATTTTCTCAATTTTCATCGCCCTTTTGCATTAATTAAATGAGTTTCGATATAGTTTTGTAAATATGTATAGTGGGTGCTCTATCTGCTTAGAAAAGATACACACTACTTACTGAGTTGTGATTGTGTTGACACCTCAATTTTAGCTAACCATTTATAATTAATTGCAAGAAAAAATAGGGACTAATTTTAGCCCCTAAACAAAATTACACTGTAATTGCATCACATATAGTTTTGGAAACATTCATTAGCCAAACCCTAGGTGGTTAACCCTAAGGTAAGGTCACGACAGGTTGCTCACCCCATATTCATTCCAATTTTTTCCGGTACTATAGCTAGCGACAAACAAGATGGGAGAGCTATTGGCAGGGAGCTTTTGGTAGTTGCGTTTTAGATATGAGTTGAGTTGAAATAGTTGGAGATATATCACTTTTATTTTATTTTTATATTAGAGTTGTGTTTGAGGCCGCTCCTTCAAATGAAACGATGGCCGTGTTATTTTCATATTCTTATAGGATTCAGGGTGTGACTTTATGAGTCACACTTCCGATCATAGTCAAATTGGTTATTATGGATTTTCCATTGACGTGCCATCTCAGATTCTCAGCTAGTGGAAGACTTCTTTCGAGTCAAGGAGTGGTTGGCGTCCTATGCTGAATGTGGACTCAATGACGAAATGCAATATCGACTTCACTAAAACGGCGTGCATTTTCATCATAGGTATAACAAGTGCCTCAAATTTTCCATAATACTTTAATGATTATTCCATTTATTGCTCATAATATCCTTAATGATTGAGGTACACCTTTGACTTTCTTAACCTTTAATAGTTTCTTTTGGGGAAGGAATTGGTGCAATTGAAGAAATTTAATCGTCTAATTTACTTACAGTATAAACATATACCAAGTACCAAGACATGACCCAAAGAGTTTTAACTCGTCAGTTAAAGAATGACTATCATCTTCAAGTCACCTCACCCACCTAGGTTTAGACTCGTTCTTTTTACTTAGTCCATCCATCTGCGATTTACCTATCTAAGATGGGATTTGTTGTCGTGGAAAAAGAGAGCACCAAGTATTGGGATCAAGCACTATGAATGGCCAAGTAGCAAGATGTTTCCACTGCCAGAACCAATTGTTGCTGCCTATAAAAAGCTTCTCCGTGGCACTCTCCCTCGAAAGCTCACTTCAGTGACCAAAAGAACAAAAAACCAAAGCAGAAAATTATGGCAGCCTTATCATTATATCTGCTGCTTACTTGGATGTTCCTATTTTCTCTCTTTCGAACTAGGTTTGCTGAGGTACTATGTCATGCGGATGAGAGCTCTGCCTTAATGGAATTCAATAGAAGTTTCAGAACCGACACAACAGATTGGCGATGCGTTTATCCAAAGGTCCATTCCTGGTCACTAGATGGAAGCGGAGATTGTTGTTCGTGGGATGGCGTCGAATGTGATGAGGTCACTGGCCGAGTGATCGCCCTCGACCTCAGTAGCAGTTGTCTCTCGGGCACCATGAGGCCCAACACCACTCTCTTTCGACTCGTTCACGTGGAGTCGCTCAATCTTGCTTTCAACAGCTTCAACTTCTCCCCAATCCCGTACGGCTTCAGCAATCTTTCAAGGTTACAATACCTTAATCTCTCCATCTCAGACTTTTGTAGTGAAATCCCTCGCGATATCTCGCAGCTCTCTGGGTTAGTTTCTCTCGATTTGACCGCTTCTTGTGAGACACTTCATTTGCCCAACATGGGCGACCTTGTCCATAATTTGACTGGGCTAAAAGAACTTTTTCTTTCTTCAGTAAGCTTGTCATCCCCTTTCCCTCCTGTGCTAGCGAATTTCTCTTCCTTGACATCGCTTGGGCTTGCATCTTGTGGATTGAATGGAGACTTTCCGGTCAACATTTTTCAGCTGCCAAACTTGGAAATCCTTGACATTCATGGCAATTCCAACCTTTCTGGTTTTCTTCCCAAACTGCATTGGGGTTCTCCATTGAAATCCATATACCTTTCCAATACCAATTTCTCGGGAGAAATACCCGCTTCGATCGGAAATCTTAGTCTCTTGACTAAGTTAGATGCTAGTGAGTGCTATTTTTCGGGATCACTTCCCTCTTCATTGGGTAATCTTTCTCATCTCACTGCACTAGTCCTTCACAGAAATACCTTGCAAGGTCAAATCCCTGTTTCCGAGCTTGGATATTGTGGATTGAATGGAGACTTTCCGGTCAGCATTTTTCAGCTGCCAAACTTGGAAATCCTTGACATTAATGGCAATTCCAACCTTTCTGGTTTTTTTCCCAAATCGCATTGGGGTTCTTCATTGAAAACGTTATACGTTTACAATACCAACTTCTCAGGAGAAATACCCGCTTCGATAGGAAATCTTAGTCTCTTGAATGAGCTAATCGCCTCGAATTGCTATTTCTCAGGATCGCTTCCCGCTTCATTGGGTAATCTTTCTCATCTCATTACACTATACCTTGACGGAAATAACTTGCAAGGTCAAATCCCAGTTTCCTTTGCTGATCTTACCCAGCTATCGGTGCTAGCGCTCTCTTCCAATAACTTGAGTGGTGATACATTGGAGTGGGTGGTCAACTTGACAACACTTACCTTCTTGGACATTTCAGGTAATAGTTTCTTCCTCTCTGCCGGTTCGGTCAGATCTCTTTCCTTCTCTCTCTGCAACTTCATGGAACCACCGACCTCTCGAGCTCCACGCCGCTCGCTCCCTCCCCGACCACCACCAAGACCCTCGTCGCGACGGCCACAAGCTAAACCAGAAACAGGGACTTCCTCCTCCACCTCAAGGCCTACCTCGCCAAGCGAGATGCCACGAAGATCATCCTCTCCTCCTCCCTCCTGCCCGAAACCCTACCCCCTCCATCAATGGCCGCCACTCGCGTGTTCTGTCGAAGATCAGCGCGTGGGCAGAGTTCATCGGGTACATCGGGAGCGTGAATCTGAAAATTAGGGATTTGAGGAGGTTGCGGTAGGACGAGACGTGCATCGACTCGAGCATCGAGATCACGATGTCGAGGGGGATCAATTGCGAGGAGGAAGAGTTGAAGTTGAGGAAGTTGTGGGAGAAGAAGTTGATGATGAAGAAGCTATCCGTGGTTCAGGACCTGGCCAAACTTGCCGAGCCGCAAGGCCTTCCGGCTCAGGCCTGTCGCTGGACTCGAAGCTCTTGAGGTGGCGATGGTGGTTTTGCTCGTGGCCGTTGTGGGGAGGGCTTTGGTGGTGGTCGGGGAGAGAGGGAGCGGCGGTGGAGCGCGAGAGATCGGTGGTTCCATGGAGTTGCAGAGAGAGATAGAGAAGGAAAGAGATGCGACCCGAACCGGCAGAGAGGAGGGGAGGGAGATTGACTTTTCCAATTTTATGACGGTGGGACCCACAGTGCCACTTTTCGTCCACTGAGTGGACTGGTGCATAGATGACGTGGTGTCACATTTGCTCCTAATATTCTCAAATGCGGTTAGTCCATGGTATAACTAAAACTCCTCTTGTCTTGTGTCTTCTTTTTTCTTTTTTTTTTTCTGTTTGGTAGGTAATCGGCTAAGCGGTGGACTTCTATCTTCATTTGAGAACCTGAAGCAGTTGACTTTGCTCGACCTTTCCCACAACGACTTGCGCGGTGATATTCCAGGCACATTGTGGAATCTGAAGAATCTTGAATGGCTTTACCTAAGGTCGTTTAATCTCAACGGTGTTCTCGATGTACATGATATATTCAAACTCAAGAACTTGGGGAGTTTAGATTTGTCCTTCAACAATATATCATTTACCAAGTCATTCATCAACGCCACTACATCGAAGCTTGCCTTCTTATCCTTCAATTCATGCAACTTGACCGAGTTCCCACAGTTTATAGGCTACTTAAGCGAATTGGTGTGGTTAGTCGTACCACACAACAGAATCCGAGGGACCATTCCCAGATGGATGTGGAACAATAGCAAAGAATCTCTCTCGTATATAGATCTTTCTCACAATCTTTTAATCGGCTTCGAAAACAACCAGACCAGTCTTCCTTTGCCGAACTTGAGGTATCTTGACGTGAGTTCTAACTTGCTAGAAACAACCCTCCCTGTCCCACCTCCCTTGGTCGTGCTATACAACATCTCAAACAATTTCCTATCTGGGAAAGTTCCAACATCCATTTGTGAAGTGAGCTCTCTTGCCGTGCTTGATTTGTCCAACAATTCTCTTAATGGCACACTTCCCCCTTGTTTGGGTAGTATTGGTCCTTTGATTATATTGAATCTTGCAAGAAATAAATTCGAGGGCATGATTCCTTGGATTTACTCGGATGGTTGTTCATTGAAGATGATCGACCTAAGAGAAAACCGCCTAAGAGGGATTGTTCCAAGATCTTTAGGCAATTGCGGAATGCTGGAGTATTTGAATCTCGGTGACAACCAAATTAATGATACATTCCCATTTTGGCTATCGGAATTGGCCTACCTAAAAGTTATTGGCTTGCAGTCCAATATGTTCCATGGACCCATAGAAGATGATCTAAGCCAGCTTAACTTCACCAGTTTACACATCCTAGACCTATCCAACAACAGCTTCAATGGTGAACTTCCTTCCAAGCTGTTAAGGAGTTGCCCCGCCATGAAGGTCATCGTTGGTCAAGATAAGTTGGCATATTTGAGTCTTTTTAAATGGTTTTATAAACCTTCTATTTCAATCAGCGAAAGTATGACTTATGCGGTGACATTAATGAGTAAGGGCACGAAAAGGGAATATGCGAAGATTCCGGATGTCCTCATGGCGATTGACTTCTCCAATAACAAGTTCGGAGGGTGCATTCCTAAACTGATTGGAGATCTGAAGTCACTCCGTATGCTCAATCTTTCAAACAACTTCCTCATTGGTAGCATCCCTCCTTCCTTGGCCAACCTAACAGTGCTCGAATCACTGGATCTTTCGGGGAACAATCTTGTGGGAGAGATTCCTCAACAATTAGCCCGCCTCACATTTCTTTCGGTTTTCAATGTCTCTCACAATCGTCTATCGGGACCGATACCACGTGGAACGCAATTTGACACGTTCGGGAGCAGTTCATTTGCGATGAATGATGGTTTGTGTGGAAGTCCTCTGCCAAATAAATGCACAAATGATGATAACGCTCCACCACCACCATCATCTTTCATAGTAGATAATGAAGAAGAGTGTATATTCGACTTGGATTGGAGAATTGTGCTGATTGGCGCTGGAGTTGGGTTTTTAGTCGGTGTTGTGCTAGAGAACCTAATCATTGATGAGAAGAGTAGGTGGTTCTTGCACTACTCTAAGAAAATGGCAAAAGGATGGAAAAGGTGAGGAAAGCTCTAGCGGACAAGAAAATATGCAGCTAGATACTTAATGCTCTATGTTTAAGTAGCTTGTTGAGAACATTTACGCATGCATGTCTGAAGATTCTGATCTATGTTTGTTTGCATAGTTCAGTATACTATTATGGAGATGCTGTTTTCTTGCTCATGAAACTTACATTTTTTTAGGTTCTTAGAAGAATGTCTGTCCATAGATGCATCAGCAATGTAAGAATGTTGTGTTGTAATATTACTAGCCAAATGACTCAAGAATATAGAGACTTAATTGAGGTGATTAGATACTAATGAAAAGCCAATTAATATACATGATGGAGGACGATGTAAAAAATTTCGTTGTCCATTAAGAACAAGAAGATTGGTGTAAAGATTTTCATGGTTCACAAGTAGAAAGGGCCTTGCTTTGGTTCATTGAATGTATATTTAGATGAAATTTCATAACAGCGGATTAGCAATCCGTGCCGTGTCAGGATATTCGTGTTGGTTATTTATGTCATTTAGTGTCGATGGACAAATGTTCCAATGTGATTAATTATAAAGTCTTTCCCATTAAAAATGAGTAAAAACGTGTCATCATGTGTCAATTTTGAGAGTAATCGTACCAAGTTCGCGTTTTTCTCGGAAAAGTCTCTGATTGTGTTCGAGTCGCTTAGGCATTGCCACTTCCCATACTCTTCCATACATTAGCTTGCAATTTTAGTGAGTTACCAAGAGTTTTGGAAACTAATTTTTTTAATCTGATGCGGTATCCTACATGAAAGATATTTTCATAGAGATCATCTTAAGTTAAGGATGCCATCGTTCATGAAAAATGAGTGATTTGGAAAACGTTTTTCGAAAAAAAATGATAGCTTATATTATTTTAAAAAATAAATTAAAGAAAATTTTTTCATCACTCACAAAAATAGTTAGGCATACATTATTATGGATAATAAAAATATTTTCCATTGAATAATTTTTTCTGTACAATATAAACAATCGTTTTTTTCAATAACTCATTTTCCACAAAACGAACACACCCTAAATGTAAAATTGTTAGCTTAAGGAGCATATAATTTAATGAGTGATTTGTAGAGGAATATTTTTCTCTATATTGAATCATTCTGTACAGCATTACAATTTTCTTATATACAATACAGGGAATAATCCTAGCATCTCAATAAATCAGGAAAAAACTGTAATAAAGGAAAAACAAAAAAACTTCCTAATTTGTAGAAAATACAGCTCACGCCAACATGATTTAGTATTATGAGTATAAATGTAAACATGAAATCTAAAGATATAACGATTTTAACATAACTTTCTTGAATTGAACATAAAAATCCAACTTATAGGATCTGAATGAGTAGAGTTTTGAGCAAGGTTGGTTATTAGAGCGATAAGAAAAAAGGATTATATTTCTGCCGGTTCCTTTAATAAGAATGACGAGAAATATGTCAAAAGAGGGGAGATAAGTTTGTAATTTACTAAAGTTCGTACCAATTAATGACATTAGTGATAGACTGAAACAGACTCACAAACTTGTATTTAGAAGTAGGAATTACTAAGAAAAAGTTAATGATTTTTAAGAATTTAGAAATGACCTTTGCGTTTAATCTTTTAAAAATATAACTACAATTTCATACCGAACAGTCTGAATATTTTAAAAACCTGCACATATGAACATTTAACTTTATTTCAAATCATTGGAAAGTGTTTTTCATAGAATTTTGTGATGTTGAAACACATTTTTATTTTTTACCGAATCATCTTTTACAGAATTGCGAGAAAAAAAAAAATCCATGTGCCTCAACACATCACAAAGATATAGAATAATCTATTACACAAATGAAATTGAAAATTCAAATGTGACAGGCTAAGTCAATGTTATAAAAGGTTCGATGATTTCAAGAAAAAATATTATGTCATTTCATGTTGTTTTTCAGTATAGAGTAGAATAAAAATTTGCTCTTTTCTGCGGCCAATTCGTTTTTGAGTTTGATAATGCATTGCATATGAAGTAAAGGTGATCGTCCATGACCTTTCGATTCATAAAGAGCATGTCACGGGCTTCTTCATGCTTAATGAAGGGCATGTCATAGAACAGAAATTAATGAAAATTGTAAAGTTATGGGCTACTCCATTCACGCGAAACGTTGTCTGGGAAGCGTTGGCTCCACGTTGTACTAGGGAAAAAAGAAAGGAAATGAAAAAAGAATAGATTCGAAAACCTGCCAGGAATTCCAAGGTGAGCAGTGTGAACTTTTGTCCACTGTCTCTTAAAGAGAAAATTCGACTTTTCGTCTCATAATTTATGTGACTTTTTTTATTAATGTCTTGAACTTTTAATTTATCTAATCAAGTCTAGCCCGTAGCACCAATTTTAATAAATTGTGTCGGACCATTTTAGAGTACGAAGTGGGAAAGAAAATCTTGCTTCTGTGGACTAGTGCCACAAAACGTTTCCTTAAAAAATGTTCAGGTATCTGTAATTATTCAGTTGAGGCGAGATATGTATACAGCGCGAAAATACGTGTCCTTATTTTCCACCTTCTTCAGAAGACACAAAGGTACGTGGAACCAATTGAAATATGAAAAGAAAGTTTCTAGGAGGCTTTGTCACCTCCTTGTAAAGGGAAAAAAAAAAGAACAGAAGATGGAGAACTTGCTAGCAATTTCAAAAGGAGCACTGTATGTTTTTATTATATCTGTTAAAGGTAATTCTACTTCTCTTCCCCAAATTTACACGCTTTTTTTATATCAGAATCTTAGAAATTTATGACTATTTTTAATGCAAACTAGACATACGATAGTTAGATCACTAATCAGTGTCAAATGAGTACCTAACTGCTTGCTCAACTCCTTATTGTTCAGTGCCTTCATGACCTTTTCCATCTTTTCGCCATTCTCTTGGAGTAGTGCAAGATCCACCTACTCTTCTCGTCAATAATCAACCCTAGCCCAACGCCGATCAAAAGCCCGACTTTAGCACCAATCAGCACAATTTTCCAATCCAAGTCGAATGGAGACTCCTCGCCAATTTCTTCCTCAAGAGATGGTCGTAATGATAAGTTATCCACAACCACGGTACATATTTTTGGTAAAGGACTCCACATAGTGTCACGCCTGAACCCCAATGGGCTCGCGATATCCCTCCGTGGTCGTATTTCGAATGCGACGTCCCAGGACTCGTTGCCAACCCACGAGAACATCAAAACATAAAGCACAAGCGGAAACGATTAAAAGCACCCAGACAAGATTAAAGACCAAGGGTAGTAGAACACTTGAACAAATGAACCACATACTTCATTCAACGGCACGTACTTACAAAATCCAACCTTACATACAAAGGCTACTAGGGTTAAAACCACCATCATCAAAATGGGCAAGTGGTCAGGTAAGTTAGCCTAGCTATACAAAAAGGATCCATCAACTCCATGGGCTTCTCTTCGGGATCTTGCTCCATCGGCTCTTCCTCGGAATCCCAAAACGCTGTGACAGACCATTCATGGTCGGAGTCGGGGGTCTGAAATGGTTATATAATAACCATGAGAACGAGTCTCAATAAGCAACACCCTAATCCCTACCTAAGTCAATGCGTACCCAGACAAGTCTTACCCAAACACATAATAGAGCAACCACACGACTTAGGCCCTCGGGCCCAAATCAAATATATGTTGACCCTGCAGGTTAGGCACATAATAATACTGGCACTGAGCCCAACAATGGTACATAGACACATATCAATTGGCCACGAACACATGTCATGCACATGCTTGCACTCGTTAATGCACTCTTGCACATGTGCCATCACTATGCATATGCTCATGTTCCTTTCTGCACACATGCACACGTGCCAATTTTTCATTTATTCACCGACCCGCGTTAAACGCATAAGGTGCGACCCGCGTAACACGCATCAGGTCTATCACTTTTCGATCGATCTCCGGCCCGCGTAAAACACATCAGGCTCATGACACAACCCGCGTGTGGGACGCCTCAGGTTGGCCATCTTCCGGTAATTCGGGCATCGTCCCGCGTTAAACGCCTCAGGCTCATGACACAACTCACGTGTGGGACGCCTCAGGTTGGCCATCTTCCGGTAATCCGGGCATCGTCCCGCGTTAAACGCATCAGGCTCATGACACAACCGGCGTATGGGACGCCTCAGGTTGGCCATCTTCCGGTAATCCGGGCATTGTCCCGCGTTAAATGCATTAGGCTCATGACACAACCCGCGTGTAGGACGCCTCAGGTTGACCATCTTCCGGTAATCCGGGCATCGTCCTGCGTTAAACGCCTCAGGACGAGTTCATTACCCGGCGTAAACGACGCCTCAGGGTTTATGTGATCACACGAGGGTAACCCACCAATTATTATCTGAACCCCGCGTAAACGACGCCTCAGGGCGATTTAGGTGATCACATGCTCATGCCAATCGTGCACACTCACATAATGCACATGTTATGCCAGTGCTTGATATGCACAAATTATGGCCATAACAATCACACTCGAGCACTCAATTTAAATTGACCGCATGTTCAATTTATACCACGACATGCTTAATTCACATCTTAACATGCCCAATGGATCAATGAATCCAAAACAGCCATAACACATACTTGGCACCCGAATTCATGCGATTAATCAATATAATTGAGCACACTCAAGGCCCACCATGCCCCTCAATTCTCGGTCATACTAGCACTCAACATGGCATTGCATAATCAAGCATAATTCACACCCAAATCAGCCACTACATGGCCCAACCAATCACACATGGCAATTCACGAACAAACCACATATTAGCCATACAAGGCCCAATTAAATCCTCAATGGACAGCCACTAATCAGTCCGAGAGAGAGAAAAATTGAGAATATATAAAATCGGGTCCAAACTGGGCAGTTGCACAGTGACATAAATCCGTTTGAAATAAATAGTAAATCAATTCCAAAAATTATGAAATTTGGATATGTTGTACAAAACATCTTGATGAACATTTTTTATGAAGAACACAAAATCCATTTCTGTCTAGAACCACCTCTTTTTGTCATCCAAAGTTGGACATAAAATATTTCATTCGGACTGGCCATCCGGCTTTCAAAATGCATTTCAAGCAGTAACCAAATCTCCTTAGAAAGATTTGAAATTTTTATATGCCATAGCCACAAATGTCCCCAACAAGTTTTGTGAAGGAAGTATTTTGAAAATAGGTCTATAAAAATTTATAAAAATTCGAAGAGACCCGAAGGTCGGAGGAACAGTATTTCCGGCAGACTAATTTTGGTCCAAAGATGGACTTCCGAATGGCCTCAAATGACTTCCAAAAATTCCCAAATTAAATTATGACATACTTAAATATGTTATGAACAACTTTCATGAATAACACTTTCACAAATTCGGCCCACAATAGTCACGGAGAAAATATCGAAGTCCAGCGACGCAGCAACAACCCTACCGG